ATAAAAAGCAATTTTAATAACAGTGTAACAAATAAAAAACTTTTCTTGTTTAAATATTTTTAATCAGAAAGTTAGATTTAATTCGTCAAAATTTCAATAAAATATATATACAATTTTACTAAAATTTGCTGTTCATATGTCTCCGATTATCTATAATCAATAAAATTTTCAAGATTAAAACTATTTTTTCACATAATCGACAAAGTTTTATATCCAGTATAGTAAGTAGTCTTATAAAAGAACTATTTTTGAACTTGCTGATTACATTAAGCAAGTTCAAAAATAGCTGTTTTGAATTTAACTCTTGAACTTTTAGGGACTTATTATATTTTACTTAAAGCCTATTAATTTATTGCATTGTAGTATATATTATAGTCTATATAAATATCCAGTTCAGCAAAATGTATTTTAAATGTTTTAGTAAAATATTTTATTTTATAAAATGCATAAAATTATATTTATTATTTATGATTTAATATATATAATAATTTATTCTGTAATTGCATATTTTTTATTACTTATTTGAATTATGCAAAATAAATAATTATACGATAATTATATACTTGTTTAATAACATTAATAATTAAGTAATGGTATATACGTTAAAATTTAAATATTTTTAGAAAATAATCCAATAGTAAGTTACTTTTATTCAAGTATTCAAATAAAAAAACATGCAATAACGTTGGAAAATATGTCAGTACTATTATTAAAAACAATTTAATGAATTAAATTAAACTAAATTAATAAAAATGCGCGGTGTTTCTTCTATATTATAAAAATATCTCCTTTTTTTATAACAACAGACTGTTTACAAAAATAGTTCAAGTTCTGAGCGGAGATAAATATTTTACGATGAACGTCACCTGTCCTTACTTTAATAAAATAAGAAAGAAAGTTTTATTACTTAGAGTAGATGTGAGTCAAATGTTCAATAGAACATCTATAGATTCCATACTACTACCGAGACTTGGTCAAAAACAGAAAATACGAGAGAACTGACATTATTTTTCTGTTTACCTGTATGCATAAATATGTTGTATGCGCACATACCTGTACTTACATTAATAGATAAAATACTTTTGAAACTGGTATTTGATATAAAAATGAAATTATTATGAAAAAAACAGGAAATATAATATTAAATGAAGAAATAAATTTAATAAACATATTAAATTTAAAAAAAAAGAGGAAATGAGGAATTAAAAACATTTTAAATAAACTTTAGACAAGATTTAAAAATTTATATGAAATTCCTATTATAAAATCATTAAAATTAAATTATTAATTTGTTTAATGTAAGTAAAGATAAAAGAGATTTTAAAATAAGATGCCTTAAAATCTATTATAAATATTTGATTATGTCGCTGTTTACTTCGTACAGATTAAACATTACTGAACAGTCTATTGATTTTTCTCTAACATTGCCTACCGTATTGAGCTTTAATGTCATAGGCGGGTAGATACATCCTGGATGCACGATCTGCTAAAAATCACTGGATTACTATCAAGCACATCTCTTATTTTAACAATTCGCTTTTGATTCTGATATGTATGTTGTGCTGTTTTAAGGATGGATCAGTAAATAGAGTACATAAAGCTGTAAGTATAACTAAAGCATTTTCTTAAATATAAAATCAAGCTTTCTTAAATGATATTACAGAATAGACTCAGTTGCAGATAACTAGCGATTATATATTGCCGTAGGGGTATTAAAAACTAATCAATGAAAAGGATAGTGTTCCCATTAAAAGAATGTTGATACTTTAAGTTATAAATCGCTTTTTTTAAGGTTTCCAAACGACTTTTAAAGCCTACAACAAAATTATGCAATTTATTTACGAGTAAATTTAGCTTTACATGGATGTTTTGCATACGAAATTGCAACTTGGCAATTTAAAGCTTTGTCTAGAAGGAAAAAAAAGAACTTATTTTTTTAATACATTGCTTTAATAAAAATACCTGTTGCTTTTTATCGTTGCTTATCGTGAATACATTTTTAAAATTAATTTATTATTCTGTAAAAATTACAAATTTTCTCTGTTTATTTTATTCAAAAATATTAAAAACTACACAGAAAAATACGTTAGTAGTTGAGATATGCCTTAAATTATTCTTCTAAAAATATTTATTTATATACTTAAGTTTTTTTTAGCCGAGTAGATTAATGATATCGATCGAAAAATTTAAATAAGTTTGATGGATCTAGCGTGACAAAATTGTCTTCGCTTTTACTAAAAAAAACGACGATTAACAAACTCTAACTTCATTTTTTGTCACTAGTTTAGATGAAAGATAATAATGAGGATGAAATTTATTCATAATAACTTTAAGATTTAGAAAAAAGAGAACTTATTGATAATAATGGAAAATTTTGACACGTCGAAATTTTGAATATCCTGTAAGGATAATTTGATTATTATAACGTTACTGTTATTACAATATAATTAAATGGATTTAAATTAAATTAATTTTAACGAATTTCTGAATTTATGTAAAGCAATACGTAATTCAAAATCAATTGCCTTCGTTTAAAAATTTAATTAAAAATGTTATTTATAGTAAGCATGTAATAAAGATTAAAATTAATCTATAACTTTCGTTAACTATCAAAAGCAAATACTGCTATATGTTTGCTAAGCAATGAGATTTTATTGTATAAATATTAAAATTAAATTCTTTCAGTATTTCGTTAATTTTGATATTTATTTCAGATGGGGACTCAAATAACAGTAAATTATTTTATTTCGATTAGCAATATTTTAAACTATTCGATTCGTTGTGAAGTATGTTCAGTTTTCTAAAAATTTTATTCATTGGTTTTATAATATGTTCGATAATTAAATATGCATTGATAAAGATTATTCTAAACTGCTAAAAAATATAAATTCTAAAGAGTTTTCACCTCCTCTTGGGATCAAGAAGTGATCAGTTGCAGCTGACGTCTACGTGTTGTTAATGACTTTTATAAATCAAGAAGTAAATTAAAAGTTATCTTGTTCAAAGAACATTTACGAACTTTATATTTATCATTTATTAAGACTGTCATTGATATAAAAAGAATCCAAACTTTTACATTATATACACTTCATGGTGATTTCCCAACATTCAAAATAAATTAAAAATAAGTGAAATAATTTAACACAGTTTTGTTAAGATCTTCAATCATATGTATTTAATTTTAATATTTATAATTTAAAAAATTAATTTATGATGTAAAACATCTTTATCAATTAATGTCATCTCTCTTGTAATATATTAAGTTAATGGATGATATCTTTAATATATTCCATTAAGACAAATTATAATTTCAATAAAGATATACTTAGATTCAGGTTTATATTAAGTAATATTGCACTACTTATGAGAAACGACTTAAAAATTTACAGACAATATTCAGAAATTGCGGTTTTGTTTTCTACATATGAAAGCTGTAGGATTAAATGCATGTTAACTTTATATTTTATACATTAATGTACTTAAATTAAGCATTAAATTCATTATTATTATTTTTTATTTTACGTTATTGACTTCTCCATCTGATAAATTCTCTAATAATTGCTTTATAATCGTTTAAAATAAAACATTAGTTTAGAAATTGAATATGATATAGGCTACTATAACCCTTGTAATTATCATCTATTAACACAGAAAATGGCGGGTATATAATTATTATCCCATTATATAAAACGTGAAATGAACTATATCTCTTCATGAAGTGATAATTATAATCTGTAATTGAACTAAATGTATATCTTAATTTTATCTCATGCTTAAAATATGTTGTAATTCATTGCTTATATTACGAATATATTGAGAAGTTAAACAGTTTTAATTGAAAATAAATATTATGCTTTATTAATATATTTTAAATTTTGCAAAATATTAGAGGATAATAAGGATAAATTAAAAATATTTATTATTCATGAAAGACAGTTTATTAAAATAGAACAACAGTTTACTAATTGGAAACTTTGTCTTAATTATGATACAAATTTAGTCATTCCTGTGCGATATTCAAGAATGTGGTAAGCATTTATAAAGATTGAAATTACATATGGCAAGATTTAATATAATTTTGTCGAAAATTATGTAGAAAATTAAAATTTTGAAACTGATGAAGCTGTCTTGAAATAAATTATCAACTTATAATCACAAATTCTGACTTTGTTATGTTAAATAGAATTAAATTTATTAGATGCAATTGAAAAGATCATTAAATGTAACAATAATAATTAATTATCGTGCGATTTTAAAATGTGTTTGAATTTGTCGTTCTGATAGGAAATTCTTTTCTTCGTTTATTGAAATTTTTTAAACAATTCATTCAATCGATAATTTATTTTTAGATATTACTAGAATTTATATAAAAGAAAATTCTTAAAATTTATAAATGAAAAAGTTTGGTTTATAGAAAAGTAAAGGAGAAAAGCATTTATCATAACCTTGAGAATTTCTATAAGTAATAGTAAATTCTTTATAGACTTGTTATTACTTGGCAGATAAAGTACAGTACATATAGGACTATAAATAGAAACTAAATAAGTTGATTAATATTTTTATTCATTGAGTTTAACAAATTCTTAATTAGAATCTTTTCTATCCATTTTCTATTATAATGATAACGCTACATTATATCATTGAAGATTCTATAGTCAAGGATCATCAATTTAACTTTCAAATAGACTTTCAACAAAACAATTTATAAAGTTATTATACTTGTCACGAAAATGACTAGAGTATTAGTCAAATAATAGATCTTCCATCATACGAAAAGAATAAAAACAACTCAATGTTTTTCGCCCCATTAAAAGCAAAAATATTTCCTCTTTCATAATATTCTCCCTACTTGTAAGAAATAACATCGCATAAATTGCCAGCACTTATGCTTGAAAAATATCAATTTTCTTAACAGCTTCATATCTAACTTTATAAATTATAAATGATANAGGATTCGTTCAAGCACCATATATGTAGTTTGGCAGATAAATATTCTAGCATAGTAATCGCTGTTTAAACTCTAAAGTAAGCGAGTTAAGTTAATTAAATAATTTATTTAAAACTATATTTAATTAAGAATGATTTTATAAGGTAAAGAACAACAAGAACGTTGTAATTTTAGAAATCGCTATCTGAATCTGTAAAAACAAAAAAAGCTGTAAAGAAGATATAATACTTTAAATTTATATATAAATTTTAGATTAATATACTTTATCGAAAATTGTATTTATTCATATTTAAATAATATTGAAATTGAATTAAGCTTTAGTTAACTTTAATACTAATGTTTACTTTATCTTTTAATATTTTATTCTTAATAGTTTAGATGTCCCAAATAATACATTTTTTGATTCGTTAATCATGAATAAGAAATAAATGCTATTTAAGGGTGAATTTCAGAAAATATCTTTTTAAATGAAGAAATTCGAATAGAAAGAATATCGTGAATAAACTTTCAATAAATATTTTACACGTTTAAATTTCTTATTGAAGCATACAAACTTTGTATTTATTTCAAAAATTTTTTAGATATTTAAATAATTGTAAGTTTATATAATATTTGAATTGATAACATTTTTATATTATTCTACATGTTAAAGAATATTCATATTCATAAGATGCATTTAATGTATATGAATATAAATATCTCAACATTCGAAATGAAAAATATTAGCTACATTATTTATTAATAACATCAACGTAAAATATGATATTTAATTAAAATATAGGTTGGAGAATATTTTAGTAAATTAGTGAGTAAAACGTAGGCGCGAGTTACATAATTTAAATGATATGACCTTGAATGGAGTAGCGAGATGGCAACTGGCTGATGGGTTTTTCCACCTTTGCAAAATAAACCGCCTTTCATTGTTAAAAAATAAAATTCTAGATAATATATAGAGATAATTCTAGAATTATATATAATTCTACATTATATATAGATAATGCGTAAGCTAAATTACGGAGTAAAGTAACTAAAACTACATTTTTAAATTTTTAATTAAGCACAAAGTGCTGTTTATTTTTCTCTTTTATCTACGAATGTTTTTATTCTTTCGACAATCTAGTTTTTACTTCCTTTCTAGAATCAATGCTGTGAATATCTATCAGTATTAATCAAGCTGTCCATCTGTGTGTCCAAACAAATATCAATTTTATGGATTGGTTTTGACCAACTTTTATTTCGAAAAATAAAACTCGAATTTATTGATAAAATGCTATAAAAAGTTTATAAAATTCATTCACATCGATTATTAAGATACATAAAAGTTTTATTTTTTCCTTGATCTTAGTGTCTTAAAAAAAAAAAAAACTAAACGGAATCGAATTCTTATGTATTATAAACTCAAATGTGTTTATAATTCTAATTCATTTATGAACTTACAATTTAAACATTTTAATTATTTTATTAGTTTAATCTTAATTATTAATTTTAGATCATCAAGAATAACTAAGATATTAAATTAATAATAAAAAAAATACTAAGTTTTAAATTTTATAATTTCTAAACATAAATTGCTTCATATAGGCATTTTCACAGCGTAAAAATCCGAGCGAAACGATTTTTTTGAAAGAATTCTTGTAAAAAAAGTGATATACATTAAATATCGGATCACGGAGTAAATAATATGATTATACTGTATAACGGAGTTAATAATATTCAAGTCATTAAAACTATTTAATTTTCATAAAGATTTAAATATATTTCATTGTTTCAAACAAGTAATTTCAATTAAATCTTATTACAATCAGACGTTAAAAGCATAACCTAAAATTGATTTAATATAGAATTCATTTAAATTGACTGATGATTCTTTCAAATTACGACATACAAGCCATTGAAATCACGGATTATAATAATCAGCACAAAGGCACATGTGATTACTGCAAAGAACTATGTTGTCCAGGTGCTATCAGCATCTGGAATTAGGAAATAGTTTATTTCATCCCGTCAGATAAATTCTGCTTTTATCATAGCATTAAATGTCAAATTTTATCCTAACAAAAATTTCAATATTTAAATAAATTCCTTAATATCTGTTAGTGCATTACAAAATATCTGGTAATTTTGCTTGTTGTTAGCTGATGTCGTCGTACTGCTTTCAACGTATATCCAATATTGGGGATTTCAACTTGGTTACGCAAATCGACTGATTCTATTTAATGTAGTTACATTAGAAACTACTACGTACTGCAGACTTAGTAGACTCCACTGAAAGATAAGACATAATAAAACACATTTATTGTTCAATAAAATGAAGTTATATTAGAAAATAATTTTGTGCTTAATTAAATTATTGAAATAATCACATTCAGGCATTTAAACTTATATAATTCATACTGCTAAATAAATTAACGTTTATAATATATATATATGAACGCCACTAATTTTAATTTTCATTTCAAATTATCAATATTAAACGTTCAATTTCCGTTGAAATACACTAGAAATAAATGTCTGACATTTACACGTTGTTGCGCTTCATATCTAGCACTGGTAGAATCTGATGCGAATGTAGATGAGAAAATTGGTCGGTGGAAAGTCATTAATGACTATTCTCCAAAATACGAAAATGACGAACTAACAACATAATTGCTTGTTATCGAAAGCTCGCTCTGAGTTACTCGGAGAACAATATTACTAGAATTTTACCTTTGATTTAACATTGACTGAATTGTTTTGAACACAATTTTAATCACAATCTTCATATACGTAAGATTCAACTATTTTGAATAATGTGATAAAAATTTAATAACTTATATAGAATTTTCAGTTGTGTATACTTAACTTAATACATTAATTAATTTGTTACAATTGATTAACTAAGAAGCAAAAACATAAAAAAGAAATATTCTATTTTAGATTCTATCAATTTATATATCGTTATTTTCATCAACTAGTTATACTGTAAAGCGTTTTAGATCTTTTATTGTATTGAAAACCAACAATGAACTTTAAATCTGATGTATAATTATATTGTATATTGTACTAATAGCACGATAGATTTAGTAATTAATTTCAAAATTGAAATTATTCGAAAAAATATTTCGGATTATTTTCTCTGTGATATTACGATTTTAAAGAATCGAAAATATNTATTTAAATATGTGCAGATAAATGTGTATATGTATAGCCTATATATAAATATTTTATTTTGTGTTAAAAATTTATAGTTTAGTTATAAAACGAAGAGCACAATTTAAAGTAGTCATAATGAAAGTATAAAGAATTTATGGTTAAGGTTATTCTATTTCATCAGTCTGAGCTATTGTTCTCACTTCTTACTTTATTACTCTCAACTACTCGCCACTATTCTCTAATTCCGACTGATTATTTTCTCTAAATTGAAATTTAAAGTCACGTTTAATGTTCAAAGTCACGTTTTCCAATATATTTCCAGTATTCGTTTTATTATAGCAGAAATTAACAATACATCTACTGATATGCTTGGAGGAAAAAGCATTATGACCGTCTCAACAAATGTTATATAACTTTATAGAAATGTACTTGGGAAATTATAAATAAAATATTTAAAAAAGTTTTATTCTAAAATATACGTAATACACATATTTATGCGCTAGTTTATTTCTTTTTAATTACTAAATCTATTAATATCGCTCATATTAAATCATTAAAATCAAGAAATACATTGAATATATTTATTTCATTTTAATTGAGATTTCACAATATACAGATTTTTTTAAAATTGAATTTATAGTTTAATGAATTTTATTTTAGAAAATTATATCCAATATGCATTTACATTAAGAACTAAAGATAATAGGTAATGCAATATAATCATTTAATAATTTATTAGAACGAGGAAACAAATAAAATAAGGAAGTTATATAAATCTTCTAAAAGGAAAAGTTTATGAACCGAGATACAGAAATTTATAGATTTTTATTTTTAGAATTTGTAATTGTTTCTTTTGATAGAACATTATTATAAATAATGTTTAACATATAATTTGTCTTAATTAAATATTTATTTCTGTATATGAACTACTATAAACTTTATTTTAACGCCTTTTAAATCTTTTGAATATAAAGGGGAAAGTTAAAATAAAAACAGTTAACTTTTTCTAATAACTTTTATTTAATTAAACATTTATTTGTATAATGTTTATAGTTAGGCTATATAGATTTTAACATTTTTAATGTAATTCAGTAACACCTGTGTAAACCGAAATCGCACGATACCGAATTATTTTTTCCGTTTTATTTAGGTTCTATTTTAGACAGGTTTAGACTGTATAAATAAAATATTAAGACAAGTTTATTTTAGTGTTAACATTAATTTTTACTATTTAATTTACTCGCATAAATACTTTATAATAATTTATGGATATCTGAATTGTTTATTGGGTATTTAATTATTTTCTATATAATGAAATACTATTTAATGTAATTTTAAAATAATAATTTGTGATATAATATCAGATAAAATTAAATCATGCGATTTTAACTAAAGCAAAATACAAAGAATAATACATTTTATTTAACAAATTCGTTCATTGATACGTTTTTATCTTCTTTTTTTAAAAAATTCAATTAATACTTATATCTTATTTGATGCTTATTCACTTATAGAAAAGTCTAATTATTCTTAATATTTCCGTTAACAGTTTTCTTTTTTTCCCTCTTTACTGTTTTCTTCTTTCCTGTAATTATTAGACTTATTAAACGAATCTTGATATAACAGTCCTTCGTACTATTAAGGAAAAATTGAAGAAAAATAATTAAAATTTTCAAAATTTCGAGAAAAAATTATTAAAGAACATGCAAATTGAAAAGTAAGAAGACAGGCGATAAAAAATTGCGGAAGGATTGCGCTTTTACATTAGTTTTGAAGGAAAAAAAATGAGAATAAAACATATTTCATTGTGCGTTTTATTAATTAAAACATTTATTTCATGATTAGCATATATTGTTACAAATATTAGAATAAATATTTCAGAAATGAATGGATTTATTGCAAAATTATAACAGTTTTATCGATTTTATCTATAATTTTGTGTTTTGAAGTATTCTGTGTATTTTACGCATGTTTTATCGTACTACAGATACATAACAATTTAACTGCAGTATATTTTTTGTAAAAAAAATATTCTACAGACTTTAAAATATCAATGTACTGTACAGTACTGTACATTACTGTACAGTACATGTATATAAGTGAAATAATGAAAGTCGGTTACTTTCTATGGTAGTAAAAAATGGAATACAATATTCTTATTGCACAAATGTAATTTATTTGTAGATAGATATACTGTAATTAAAATTATAGATCTTTTACTTATTATAATGCATGTTTACATATTACGCATTATAATCGTAAACAAAACGCGAAGAAGATAATAATACAAGTAATAATAAATTTATTATTGATATCATTTCTGCGTTGCTAAGTTTTAATTTATTAAAAGTATAAACAGTTCTCGAGCTGGTTATTATTTTATTCTAATAACAATTTGAAATAGCAAAAACATAGCGATCTAAAAATTTAAAATCTTCTCGTTAACTCCATCTATTTGCAAGAGCATCTCATTAAATCGCAACCAATGTCTTATTTCTTAAAATGTTTTCGTTATTTGTGAAAAAGTTCTCATCGTTTTTGCAACGATGCACTTTTTTAAATATTGCTTACGATAATAGCGTAATTCTTCATCAATTTTTTATATGTCTTCTAATTTTGTTACTTATGTGTTACTTAAACACAATTTACGTTTTTAAATCTTCTCCAAATTGCTACATTTCTATTTACATTTCAAAAAGTTTTAACCGGATCTCAACAGCTTAAAAAATTCTCCATTGTTCTATTGAAAATTGTGAAGTATGTCGCCAATTGTCGCCAATAATTATAATCAGTAAATCAGTCAGACAAATTTTGAAATACAAATTTTAAACCATGAACGATAATTCACTTTTAATTAAAATAAAGTAAAAAAAACTGAAAAAATATTTGCAGCTTCTTCATAATTTCGTCCTTCTCATATCTCAGGAACAAGAAAGTTACGTAGTAGAGTCGACATTTATTTGGAAGCTCTCCAAATAAAGGTCTACTTCGCTATGTTGTCCCTGAGGTGTGGGAAGAACGAAATTATGAAATTTTTTCTGCATTTTCATTTAAGATTTTGAAATTTTTAAGGAACGGCATATTTCTTTTTGTCGAATTCAAGAAAATAGTTATTTTTTATATCTTTCCTACTATTGTATACATAAAGTCCCAATTAGATATGTATTAATGCCAAGGAAGGATTTTAAAATATGGTAATATGTTTATATTTTTTAGATTGCTTATAAACAATTTTTACTACAAATAAATATACTCTGTTGTTTATGTAAAAAATGTATTTAAATTTAATTTATTTTCGTTTTTATAATATTAATATATTTGAAATTTTACATATTTATTTACTTTTTTCAGGTAGTGATGAGAAGTGTCTGATCACACGTAAGGTGAATGGCCAATTTTAAAAAAGTATAGCATGTTGCTGCCTATGAAAAAGTGAAATTATATTCATACGTATAAAATGTATTTGTTTCGATGATACCAAAAATATTTTAACATATACAATTATCCATGAAAAATTAATGAAGTGATAATGTCATTGAGAGTTTCATGGATCACACGAAGTAGACGATGCTACTTCTATTGTCGACACATTTGTTGACGATCTTGGGGGTTTTAACCCTCTGGGGACCTATCTATATCACAAAGGGTTCACCCGAAATCCAAAGGAAGACGGTAACTCTGCCTGGAGATATAATGATTGGTGCTCTTTTCTCTGTTCACTTTGCTCCTGGTCCAAAACAAGCGCAGACAAGAACTTGTGGAGAAGTTAGAGAACAATATGGAATCCAACGCGTGGAATCGGCTTTCCAAACTGTAGATGAAATTAATAGAAACAGTTCTATTTTGCCTAACATTACTTTAGGTATCGAAATTCGTGATTCTTGCTGGTATTCGCCTATTGCTCTTGAACAAAGTATAGAATTTATCAGAGATAATATAGCTATGATTGATGACGCTGCCCTTAATGCAAGTGCTATCGCTGAAGGAGAAATTTTGTGCCCAAGACCTCCAAAACTTGCCAAAAACTTAGTCGGAGTGATAGGTCCCGGTTCAAGTACAGTGACCATTCAAGTGCAAAATCTTTTACAACTGTTTAACATACCACAAATAGGTTATTCTGCTACTAGTCAAGATCTAAGTGATAAAAGCTTTTACAAATATTTTCTACGTGTCGTTCCGTCTGATTTTCACCAAGCAAAAGTATTAGTAGACATAGTCAGAAGACACAACTGGACGTATGTTTCAGCGGTACATACAGATGGTGAGTACTTTTATAAATGTATTTGCTTCCTATTTAAGTATATATCAATCTAATTATTACGCTATTAATTTTAGAAATTGAACTTAAATAAAAAACCTTATAGAAAAACATTAAATATTTGCATGAAATTGTATATTTTAGTTAAAATATATAATTTTTTATTTAATTATAAATCCTAAAAGAAAAATTCTGTTAAAAAATCTGTTGATTCTTATTTTGACAAGCAGAAATTACTTATTTTGGTATGATAATTCTAAACAAATTTTAAGGCACAATTTCTCGTTACTTATTTATGTAAATAACATATTTTAACATCTTTACACCTGTCTAATAAAATAAAATACTTAAATTATAAATAGGTATAATATAAAAATTACAAATTAAAAATTTAGTTATATTCATGACTGCTGAAACTATTAAAAAGTTTATTTAGAAAATTAAATAATTTTCGTTTCTCGAATAGTTTTAATGATATTTCTGCAATATTTTTTAGGTTTTATATATTTTAATACATAATCTACACAATAATACTTATTGTAAAGATATTTTAATATAATAAAAATTTAAAATAAAAGAAACACTAGAAAAAATAACATAAAAAACCGGAAACAATTTAAAGTAGATTTCTACATGATCAATTTTTTTCATTTCTTAATTTAAAGAATTGAAAATGCCGAAAATAGTTTATTCTTGATGTTAGAAAAGCGAATTGTTTTGGAGAAATGCCGACTTCTAATCATGGATCATTTGTGTAGCCAACCGTGCGTGTGACGTCATTTGTCAGCTGACCGCAGATAACAGAGCTTGGTAGACACCTTGTCAACTCCCTTTTACTTCCTCTTTGGCAGCTTTCTTATCTAAAAAGAGATAACGATTGAGCTCAATGTCTCCTATTGAACTAACTGTGTTTTCATGAAGTTACAAGATTTTCTTATGATTCCCTAAAAGTGTTGTCAAAACAAATCCGATTTAAGTACTTATCTTTAATAGTTTTCTTCTTTGAAATTGCTTTAGCATGATTTAAAAGATTATTTAATTATTTGATCGCGGCCTAATAAATAGTTATTATTCTTACTACGTGAAACAATACTTTTTTATTTTGCTTTTAAAATATTCCCAAGAAAGTTTTAAAAATTCACAATTTTATCGAATATAGTTTAATTTAACGTACTGTACATCAAAAACACTTAATTTATTACTGAAACAATATGATTTCAGATTACTTTTGCTGTACATATACTTGAAAAGTTTGTCATTAATGATAAGATTAAGATTTAAAAGATTATAATGTATTCTGGAAATTTGAAATTAAGAGAAATTCTTGATTTTTACGTTAATTAGTTTTTATTTTAACGATTTTTCTCTTCAAATAGATTTTTAAAATATTATTAAATCAAACGTCAATATTTTATTTTAAATCTTATGTCTGATTATTTTTGTTTACGGACTTAAAACCTGAATTCAGAAATATCCTATTACATTTCTAAATCCTTTTAAGCACGACGACTGTTATATTTTCATACTCTTGATACGTTAATGTATGTATTAATGCATTATTTGAATTATTACATACAAATAATTCAGTTAACAGTCGTAAATAATTATCCGTTTATAATTCAAAATATAATTCTAATTATAATTCGTTTATATAAATCAGTATTTCTATTTTGTAGAAATGATCGCATTATAATGATTATCACGTCATAAATAGTTGTCTTATAATATAAATCACATTTTTATCTTTACGAAAGTTAAAATTATTATCAATTAATTAAACATAACATTTTTTTCTAAAGAACTTTTTCGAATTAATTTTTCTCTGACAAAACTCTACGTACTGTATTACACTATATAGCTTATATTTGTTGTTTTTTTATTTTTTATTGTTACGGTTTTATTGTTTTGCGGGGTTGTAAACCTTTAGTCTCAATTAGTCTTTTCCTAACGTAACTAAAATAAAAAAATAAAATAAAAGTATGTAATAATCTACATTGACATATTTTACGTTTACAAAGAATAAACATGTAATTTATACGTATACGTATATATTTTGAATGTTTTTAGGCATATTGAAAAATTATCTGTGTTCAATGCAATTATTATACAACACGTGTAAGCACTCTCGCTAGTCCGAACACCGCTTAATCTGAACCAATTTCATTCGATTTTCTGCTAAATGCTAGAGTTAAAATACTGTATAAAGATAATTTAAATACATGTATTTTTTTCAGTTCTTCTTGACTTGGTTTTCATTGTATACCCGTATAATTTCGCTAATTCGAACTTTACGCTAAGCCGTACAATATTTTATAATAATTAACTCAGATTAGCAAGAGTGCATTATGTTAAAATTATGAAATTATTTTCAGCGCGTTTACAGTTAATATAAAGTAATAAATAATAATTAATTGAAATTATTTCAACAATTAAAAATTTATTTTTGATTAATTATATATTGTTTGAAGAATACATTTATAAAAAAGAATATAAATTTGACTATACAAAAATTTTAAAATTAGATGATATTAACTAATAAAATAAAAATCAATATAATTATATAACAATAAATTTTTCTAGGAGACATTGTTTCTTCGAGTAAACAAAGTAGGTGTACTGTATTGTAACGAATTTATTATATAAAAATATCGTCTAACACGCAAAGAAATTTGATAAGTTTTATTTAAAAGTTGCATATTAATATAAATATATATTTAAATTAAAAAAATATATATATATATTAAAATATAAAAGTAAGGCATTTATATAATTATAAAATATCATCAAGTCAAAATACACTCAACCATACATAAACAAAAATTTAATTATAAAGTTTAAAATAATTTTCAAAACTACTACTTTAATTACTAGTTAAAATAATATAGTATTTCCTGGAAAAAAAATAAGCTCGCGAAATGAATACTTTTATATATAAAATAAATTTTATTTAATAACTATAGTTAAATGAAAAGTAAATAATGGTTACGTAAAATAAAACGAAAAAGAAAAATATGAAATTAATTAATGTACAAAATAATTTTTACAATAAAGCTTTAAATGAATATATTTTTTAATGTTTTCTGGCTTTGAACTAAGATTAAAATAAAGTTTGACTTATTTAATTATTTATTAAATGAAATATTAAATAATTCCATATATTAGATGAAATTTATTCACGTTTTAGTTTAATTTTCATAATAATTACTCTTTAGTCTTTCTAAGTTTAATTTAGGTTGGAAAGTTAAAAATTGTTTACTTTATTATAATTATAGATAGAATATTTTTATTAAATGCTTTTAAAATATTCATTAGATTTATATCAGCATATTATATATACTATCGCTGTAGTTAATTCATCCCATTGATATTATAGAAGTGAATTTATTTTATATTTTCTACAATTACACTATTGACAAAAGAAAGAAAAAAAATAACGCTAGCGGATAGAATAATCTAATTAGAACATGCAGCTTTTTTTCAGACAGGTATATAAATCATTAGAATTGTGTCTGATTGCACGCCGAGTAATGCCATCAGAATGTTTAGAATCGTTACCTCACTATCCTATATAAAGGCTCACAGAGGCTTCCTATGTTCAGAATTTTCAATATACCTGCTGTTTGGAAATCTTTGAATGCCAAGCATGTCTGTGCGATGCAGTCAAAGACGTTACGCACAGCTGACGGAAGTTTGAGAAAGGCCACATCATCGACTAAGAAAAGTTGGATGGTCTTTTCTTACAATTACTGATTATCTGGATCGTTCCGACCGGGTCAGAACGAAGCAGAATGGAATGCAAGACGCGAGCATAAATGGATCCGTCAGGGCTCACTTGGCGGCCATGCTGTGGACGCCCCAAACAGACTACCGGGAGAGATAATCGTCTGATCGTGACACATGCACGAACAGCTGCAACAACGTCTTTTCCAATTATCTACAGAAAAGTGGAACCTTGTCACTTCTTTTACCAATGGTAGAGAAATTTGCATGCACGGCAACAACTATGCGTTCTGCCATTTTGGGCGTCGTTTGTAATGATGCTGTGACAAAAAAGCATGGACGGCTACGTATTGGCAACTTATCGTCTTTGGTTCTCGTTGTTGTTTGGTAATGGACAACTGCCATATTAGAATGTGAATAATAACTGATGAACGTTTCAATTCCGCCATTATTGTTGAGAGACATACTACTCTCACTACTAACATAGTGGTTTGGGGAGCCAGTTGTATATCAGTTGATTATTACTAATAAAGGCGTAGAGACATTAACAGCACAGCATTCAGAAAATTCTGTGCCCTCATATGTTGCCATATGCGATGCCTCATGTGATAATAGAACGGCAAACAGCATTTTCCAACAAGATAATGCTCGATCGCACACGACTAGAGCTTTCTAGGAATGTTTTCATCACATTTCCTTACATCCTTAAGGAAATATAGAAACGAGTATTTGCGGGACTAGATGAGAGGCCAAGTTCGACCAACTACGAGTATGAGGTGTCTGAATGGCAAATGCTACATCTTTGGATAAGTCTATTACATGATAACAAGCATATTGGTGCCCTGTATGCCTTCATGCTACTCCGTATCATCGTACGTATCCAGGCAAGAGAAGATTGTACAAGGTATTAAAGAATTGCTTTGAATTGTTCCACTGTTTCACAAGAAATTTTCGCTTCGTTATGATATTCTAATCACTTATTATCGTCATTATGTTAATAAAGTTTTATTCGATTCCAACGTCGCAAACTGTATTCTATAAAGAAAAATAAATACGCTAATGAATCAAACTTTTATGTTATTTGTAATCAATTTTGTTTATTGCGTACTAATACAATGATAAACAGGGCATTTTATTATGGTAACGACAATCGTAAACGATAATGAGGAATGCTGGATAAACTCACGAATTAAAGCTTATAGTGAATCTCCAGTCGTGATGCAATCATTGCTAGAACTGCATGTCAGTTGTTTGCATGAATATTGCTAGCAGTTTACAAGTGT